AGAATTGATGCCGAAGCATTTGTTACAACTCGATCAACAATCACAAACAAATTCAACACCCTTCCTCCAGCATCTCCTTGACCAACCTTCCGAACTCAGCTCGATACTGTACTGGTACTCGTCTGGGGATTTGTCGTACGGTGGTGCCCCTCGTGTGATAATCCAATGTTGGATGATCTTGGTTCTGTCCAGAGGAACGCCCTCCCACGCAAAAGCAACCTGGTACTTGATCAATAATGCATGCATGCGATCCATCTGTTGTGACGAGGTGTACAGATCGGCGCGACACAGAAGCCTGGATTCTTGGCCCTGCAGATCTACGGGGTGCACCTCCAATACTCAATCGGCTTCTCCCTCGGCGTGTTCTCTTAGGGATACTCGTCCCCCTCCGAGTATCAGTACATCCTGGCTAACATCAATGCTGCACTGGAAAGCCGTGAGGAAATCTATTCCCAAAATCAAATCGTATGGGATTTCTGGGGAGACCACTATTGGGTGCGTGATACTTCCGTTGCTAATAGTTAGACTCACTTCGGATACGCCATAAACATGTAATGGGGTCCCATTAACCGCTTTTACTGCATTTCACCAGCCTTATCAATACCTCTGGGACATAATTTGGGGACTATCAAGCTGCACGCGGCACCTGTGTCGACCGAGGCTTTGGCGTTCTTGCCCCCAATATTTACAGCTAATAACGGCGGAATGACGGTGGTAGTGTTGGAGATTCATACATATGGCAAGACTAAAGAAAATCTCTGGGACTCACCGTCGTGTGGATTCTTCGGTTGTCCATAAGGTTCTGGTGTTCGCGGCACATTACTAAACCTGGTTCCCGGTCCCCTTTGGCCTTGATTAAAGGGGACAGGTCGCCATTGGTTGGAAGATGCCGGCGACGGGCGGATCGGTGGTCTTCGAGTAGGGGGTTGGAGCGTAGAGCATCGGATTACGACCTTCCGTGGTCCGCGGAGTGTCGAATTTCCGTACTCGGTTGACTGCTTCCAGTAGACTTGCCGCCGTTTGTGCAGCTAGATCCTGTCGGGCAGCCTCACTCCGCAACCCGTCTTGCAGTCCTTCCATCAAAGAACTTAATGCGACTCCAACGACCTGGAGCCCAAAGCTTTAAGGACTAGGCCCCTGATGGCGGCTGCGTACTCTCCGACGGTCTCGTTCTCTATCTGCACCCTCCGCCAAAATGTGCTTGTGAACAGCGGAATTTGTCAACTCTTCTGCGAGGGTTTTGAGGGCCTTCCAGATCTCTTGTCGTATATACTCTCTTCCTCCAGGATATCCTGCAGCCTTTCGCTAATTCTGTTCAACCGTGGTAAGCTTCCACTTGAAACAGGAAAAGATAAAAGTCGCATGGAAACGTCCTGAGATATTTCTCCCTTCTCCGATTGATCTAAAAAAAGAGCTGGCATTTTTCGATTCCATCCCCATCGCCAAATGTGTAATGCACAATATAATCGGTCTGGGATTGCGCGCTGATCAGCACAAGTCTGAAACGGTGAACACAACAGCTGCAAGTTACTACTCGATACACGAATAAGGCAGCCAGCAAACACCACGTTCTCGAGCGATAGACGATAGTGTGAAGACAGACTACCGTAGGGCAGCGTGAATTTGGAACAAATCAATCAATCGTCGATCAGGGTGATACAAGGGGGATCATTCGTGGGGACTGATGATTGTTCGTATTCATCGTTCGTTTGGTCCGGTTCTGGTTGTTGATAACCAGCTTCGACGCAAGCGATCTGTCTTCCTGTGGAAGGAAGGATGAGATAGAAGGAGATTAGGGTGGAAATATAATAATCGCAATAGGGCGCCGACTCTCCGCTAACTATTGCCGCCACATTATCCCCTCCTAATACAATAATGTTGGGAGTGGGTGAAGACGTTAAGTGTACTCTGTACGTAAGGCGGGAGCCGCTGCAGCCAGATCTGGTGCAGTACACAGTCGTCTAACGTTGTTTCGCTTACCAGCGCACGCATCTGATGCAATAACTGGGGCGGCTTGAGGTTTCCCAGTGGTATCCCAGATAGTAGAAGCTGGATGCGCTTCTACTCAGAAATGGCCATACCGCGAAGGAGTGCCTCTTTGAGCACGTCGTATGGGTTGTGAGCAATGGTATTCATATTTATTTCCCTTAAGTTGCCCAGCATATTCCGCGGTATCGCGGACAACAGCTTATGGTAAAGTGACAGTTGCCCGGTGATGCGTGCTTCATGGAATCGCGATTCCAGAAGTGTGAGGAACGCCTCCGGGTCCTTCGGCATGAACTGTGGTGCCCTGATGTGGGCCCAGAGTGTTTCGCTGTCTACGGGATACTTATGATCGGGGCTAGTCATAATCGTCAATATATAATGAGGTTGTCAAACGGATTACAAAATATGACCGAATGGCGCCTAGAATAAAAAGTGACTTGGAAAAGCGAAGTTGGAAAAATCCAATAACAAATGAGCGGTGAACCACAAAACTAGAGATAGATATAATCTAAAATCACATGAACGAGAGCAGATCCGTAAAAAATTGTGCGGACAATTTACTAAAAACGTGACGTAGAGAAATTAAAATTTCTCCGAGAAAAAATGTCCAACGTAAAGAAGATGAAATAAAAGGGCTCACCAATTTGTAGGCACTCAATTATCGATACCTCGAACTAATACGCATGTCGCAAACGAACGTTCGTACGAAAACAGAAGGAGACGATTCAGAAAACGGATGACGGGTTGTATCTTTACGACCTGCAAAGCAAAAGGGAGATATGGAAACGGAAGCAAGCGTGCGGAAAGTGAAAGCAAACACATGCTGACCGAAGAGGTGGCCTTGGTATGATGAAGCAATGCGATGCACAGAAGGAAGGGTACATGTAGAATGGGATTTGTTTGGTCACTACAACGGTTGGGGGTGCTATTGTTTAACTGTGTTTTCCTTCGCCCGGACGTAAGCAATGTTTAGTACTTCGTCAACAGGATTCACAAAAGAACTTGTCACCACACGCTTCTCAGTGTTTCAGTGGCGCCCACCGCTACAAAGCCGTTCCAGAGAGCCGGGACGCACAACCACAGCATGCAATCCTTCTTCCAGCAGTGGGGGGAAAAGAGAGAAAAAGGCAGTAGGTCAGGTAGATTGGGGAAATGGAGTGGATCTTCACTTTCACCTTGACAGAACCACATGCGGGACTTAGTTGGCACTTAGTAACCTAAGCCCACTCAATTATATCCCCAGCAGAGCGGATCGCCAGGATGGACGGGCCGGAGGTGAAGTACCGGTGCTCTTAGCCACTAAACACGGGCATCATGAAGGCCGTCACCACCACACCCTGAA